CTTACGGGATGCAGACAGGTCAGAACATCTCTAATGGAATGGCCTAGCTTTGCGACCAAAGGGAGAGGAGGTCTTGTGAGACTAGACGCAAAAGGTTCAGAAAGGAGAGATTACATTGAGCGGAATGAATAACTGGGGATAGACGAAGTTGAAGTAATTTGTAGACAAATATTTTATATATAGGAAACAAAAAATTTAATTTTTATTATTTACTGTTTATATGAATAATTATTTATTATCCACCAACCAATATTACTTAATGTAATAAAAACAAACTTAATACATATCAACAAACATTCAAATTTTACTATAATTACATTATTTATATTTTAATGTCCTTCTAATAAAATAATATATTTATTGCATATTTAGTTACATAAAGTTATTTTTATTATTTACACAAAAAGAGCTTTTTAGTAGATACAAATATAATTGGCCAATCAATATTTTGTAGACATCTTGGCATCATCTTCCTACAATGGATGGGATCATGATGGTGATAAGATATTGGTTCCTCGGATGGTGCTTAACTCTTCCAATGTGAGGATATCTTTCAAGTTCCAGAGATGGCAATTCTCACTTATGGTTTCTTATGCTATGACGATAAATAAGAGTCAATGTCTATCTTCATCGCACATTGGTTTGATGAGTCAGTTTTCCTCACTGTGAATCCATAGGGTTTGAAATATTAATATATATGTTGTTAACTTATGTCTCACCTTATTATCTAATATAACAATAACAAATGAATATTATTTTCCGTGCATCGCACGGGCTACGCGCTAGTTAGTATACGACACTAACTAAATAGCCCGGTTTGATAGCCCGCCGGAAGGGGCGGGATGGTGGTTATTTCATGTCAACGCGGGGATCTCTCAACCTCGCCTAGTCGTGATTAAGCGTTAGCAATATCGCTTTTTTTTCTCCACAAAAAAAAAAAAAAAAAAAAAAAATTCTTGGGCATGATGAAAATGTCTACAAAAATTTGTTGTTACACAGTCTAATCGTTAGACTAATCATTCTGCTTTTTTTTTTATCATTATTACATATTTGTTGTAACACAGCTTAATCGTTAGACTAATGATCATTCTGCTTTGATTTTAATTATTATTACATATTCATACTATGAAATATCATACTTTTTTTTTTTAATATTATCATTAAAGTAAAGTATAACACGTAATCCATAGGCTAATTACTCAATTTTTTAAGGAAAAAAATATTATAATTACATATATTTGTAGAAAAAATATAGTTAGCTAATAATTAATACTATCAAAAGATTTATCAGGTAAAGTGTAGAAACGGAATGATAAAAACTCATGTGTTTTATTTAATTTCACTTGCCACTTTTAAGAAACTATATTACAAATGGAGCAAATTAATGATTAAAACCCTAATCTGAACTTTTAATTAACTACATAATTTCTCAATTTGGTCAACTTTAAGCTGACACTAAGAAAGTATATATAATTAATCAGCATGCAATTGCATAATACACCATTTATGCTCACCTGCAGCAATAAAACAAAGAACAATTTGAAAAAACTCAAGTCACGTAAATCATCAAAAATCTAGCATGAAACAAACCAGGTACAGATATAGCCAAAAATAACTCGCCGGTTACGAAAAAAAAAAAATGTCGACGAGTATAAAATTTAAAGCGACCGGCAAGTCATCCTTGGCTACACCTAAACAAAACCTAGTTGCCTCATGCAAGAATTATGATGAAAACAATGTCGTCCGAGATGAGAAAACCTAAATTCCGACCAATACAAACAGAGAGCAAGAATTTTCCCTAAAGGAGAAAAAACAACTCATTGGTTGAGGAGAAAATCTACTTACAAATCGA